AGGTGTGCTGAGGTGCCCGAGGAGCATCTCTGACCAGCAGGGCGACCCCTGCCTGTGCTGCAGATTGGCTGTACAAGTGCTCCGTGCAGAAGCTGGTGGTGGTCATCTCGAATATTGAAGACGGGGAGGTCCTGGAGAGGTGGCAGTTTGACATCGAGTGGGACAAGACGGCCAGAGATGACAGTGCACCCAGGGAGAAGTCTCAGAAAGCCACCCAGGACGAGATCCGCTTGGTGATCAGACAGATCACCGCCACGGTGACCTTCCTGCCGCTGCTGGAGGCTTCCTGTTCATTTGACCTGCTGATCTACACAGACAGAGACTTGGTTGTACCTGAGAAGTGGGAAGAGTCCGGACCGCAGTTCATTGCCAATTCTGAGCAGGTCCGCCTGCGCTCCTTCACGACGACAATCCACAAGGTGAACAGCATGGTGGCCTTCAAGATCCCCGTCAACGACTGAAGGAGCCGGGGCGGAATGGAATCCCACACGTGTGTCCTGAGGCCAGGTCAACTGTGGTTCTTGTTTTGTTCCATTGATACTTTTGAGGTGGGGAAACTTAGCCTTGTACTTCACTGCACTGTGCCTATTGTCCATTTGTTTGTGCCTGTTTGACTTTCCATGGGGTTGACATGATTTCCAGAGGGTTGACACTGTTCGTGGAAGGGAACCAGCAGATCATGTCAGCACTGGAATGTCACCTCCTTTGAAGGTGGAAACCGGAGATGGGAAACTTTTGCTATTCAGCTAAATGCCTTCCTAAATCAGAACTTTCAGTCAAGTAGCCTGACTCCGAGTCTAGGTGACTATGGAACAGCAAAAGAAGTCCGAATATCAGAATCTTTGTTTAGTTCTAAAGTAACAACTGATCAGCCACAGTCACAGTCTTCCTAGCAGGTCCTTTTGCCATTTATTTCATTTGTATAGTTTCCATATTGAAAACCCTCAATTACTTGACTTTAATGTATATAATTTACACTTACAAATCTGTCGCTATTTCTCCTGTTTCAATTCCGCTGATACAGAACTCTTGATGTCTTTTTGTGTTTTATAAAATCAAGCTTTAAATGACTGGAAAAAAAACACACACAAAACACAGTGAGTCCTAACCGGTTTGGCTCAGTGGCTAGCACTAGAGCATTGGCCTGTGGATTGAAGGGTCCCAGGTTCGATTCCGGTCAAGGGCATGTACCTTGGTTGCGGGCACATCCCCAGTGGGAGGTGTGCAGG